AAAAAAAATTAAAAAAAGAAAAAAATTTTTAAAAAAAAAAAAAAAAAAATTTTTAAAAAAAAAAAAAAAAAAAAAAAGAAAAAAAAATTTTTTAATAAAAAAAAATTTTAAAAAAATAAAAATGAAAAAAAATTTAAAAAATGGGAAAAAAAAAAAACCCCCAAAAAAAAAAAAAAAAAAGGGGGGAAAAAAAAAAAAGATAGATTGGGGGAAAAAAAAATTTAAAAAAAAAAAAGGGGGGGAAAACCAAAAAAAAAAAAAAAGGTAGATAATAGATGGGAAAAAAAAAAAAAAAAGAAAGGGAAAAAAAAAAGAAAAAATAAAGAAAAAAAGGGGTTTAAAAAAAAAAAAAGAAAAAAAGAAAAAGGGGGAAAAAAAAAAAAAAAAAAAAATAATAAAAAAAAAGGGGAAAAAAAAAAAAGGGGGTAGATAGATAAAAGGGAAAAAAAAAAAAAAAAAAAAAAAGGGGAAAAAAAAAAAAAAAAAAAAAAAAATAGATAAAAACCCCAAAAAAAAAAAAAAAAAAGGGGGGAACCCCAAAAAAATAAAAAAAAAACAAAAAGAAAGAAGAAAAAAAAGGAAAGGGGGGGGGGAAAAAAAAAAAAAAAAAAAAATTAAATAAAAAAAAGGGGGAAAGAAAAAAAAAAAAAGGGGGGAAGAAGGGGGGGGAAATATCAAAAAAAAAAAAAAAAAAAAAAAGAAGAAGGGAAAAAGGGGAAGGGGTTTTGGGGGGGGGAAAAAAAAAAAAAAAGAAAAAAAAAAAAAAGGGTGGGGGGTGAAAAAAAAGGGGGGGGGGGGAAAAGGAAAGAGGGAAAAAAATTAAATTGGGTGGGGGGGAAAAAAAAGGGGGAAAAAAAAAAAAAAAAAAAAAGAAATAAGGAAAGAAGAAAAAAAGAAGAAGAAAAGGGAAAAGGGGGAAAAAGGAAAAAAAAAAAGGGAAAAAGATAAAAAATTTTTAAAAAAAAAAAGGAAAAGGAAAAATAATTGGGGGAAAAAAAAAAAAAAAAAAAGGGGGAAAGGGGAAAAAAAAAATAAAAATAATTTTGGGGGGAAAAAAAAAAAAAGGGGGGGAAAAAACCTTTAAAAAAAAAGGGGGGGGAAAAAAAAAAAAAAAAAAAAAATAAAGGGGAAAAAATGGGTGGGTGGGTGGGTAAAAAGGGTGGGTGGGGGGAAAAAAAAAAAGGGAAATGGGTGGGGAAAAAAAGGAAAAAAGGGGGGGGAAAAAGGGGGGGGGGAGGGGAAAAAAAATTTTAAAAAAAGGGGGGGGGGGGGGGGGAAAAAAAAAAAAGGGTTAAAAAAAGGGTGGGTGGGTGGGTGGGTGGGTTAAAAGGGGGGGGAAAAAAAAAAATTTGGGGGGCCCAAAAAAAAGGGGGGGGGGGGGGGGGGGGTGGATTGGGGGGGAAAAAAAAAAAAAAAAAAAAAAAAAAAAAAAAAAAAAAAAAAGGGGGGGGGGAAAAAAAAAAAGAGAAAAAAACAAAAGAAAAATGATAGAAGGAAAAAAGGGGAAGAAAAAAAAAAATAGATGGGTAGGGGGAAAAAAAAAAAAAAAAAAAAAAAAAAAGAAAAAAAAATTTTAAAAAAAAAGAAAAAAGGGGAAAAAAAAAAAAAAAAAAGGGGGGGGAAAAAACCAAAAAAAAAGAAAAAAAAGAAGAAAAAAGGGGAAAAATAATAGAGGAAAAAAAAAGGGGGGAAAAGGGGAAAAAAAAAAATAAAAAAAAAAAATAAAGAAAAAAAAAAAAAAAAAAAAAAAAAAAAATTTGATTAAAGGTAAAAAAAAAAAGGGGGGAAAAAATTCAAAAAGGGAAAAAAAAAAAAAAAAAAAAAAAAAAAAAAAAGAAGGGGGGGAAAAGAAAAAAAAGGGGGGGGGGGGAAAAAAAAAAAAACCCAAAAGGAAAAAAGGGGGTGGGTGGGTGGGTTGGGGGGGGGGGGAAATTGGGGGGGGGTTGGGGGTACTGCGGAAAAGGGGAAAAAAAGGGGGGACCCGGGGGGGGGGGGGGGAAAAAAAAAAAAAAATAAAAAGGGGGGGAAAAAAAAAGGGAAAAAAAAAAAGGGGGGGGGGGGGGAAGAAAAAAAAAAGGGGGGGGGGGGAAAAAAAAAAAAAAAAAAAAAAAAAAAGGGGAAAAAAAAAGGGGGGGGAAAAAAAAATAAAAAAGGGGAAAAAAAAGGGGAAATATAAAAAAAAAAAAGGGGAAAAAAAATAAAAAAGGGGGGGGGATTGGGGGGTTTTTGGGGGGAAAAAAAAAAAAAGGGAAGGGGGAAAAAAAATAATAGAAAGGGGAAAAAAAAAAAAGGGAAAAAAAAAAAGAAAATTAAAGGGGAAAAAAAAAAAAAGGGGGGGAAAGGGCAAAAAAAAAAAAAAAGAAAGGGAAAAAAGGGGGGGAAAAAAAAAAAAAAAAGGGGGGGGGGGGTTAAAAAAATAAAAAGGGGGAAAATTTTGGGGAAAAAAAGGGGGGAAAAAAAAAAAAAGAAAAAGGGGGGGGAAAAAAAAAAAACAGGGAAAAGAAAAAGGGGGGAAAAAAAAAATAGATAGATAGATAGAGGGGAAAAAGGGGGGGGAAAAAACCAAAAACCAAAAAAAAAAAAAAAAGGGGAAAAAAATGGGGGGATAGATGGGTAAAAAAAATTAGATGAAGGGGGGAAAAACCGGGTTTTTTTTAAAAATAAAAAAGGGGGAAAAAAAGATAAAAGGGGGGGGGGGAAAAAAAAAAACAAAAAAAGAAAAAAAAGGGGGGAAAAAAAAAAAAAAAAAAAAAAAAAAAAAAAAAAAAAATTTTGGGGAAAAAAAAAAAGGGAAAAAAAAAAAAAAGGGGAAATAATTTTAAAAAAAAAAAAAAGGGGGAAAAAAAAAAAGGGGAAAAAAAAAAAAAAAAGAAAAAAAAGGGGGAAAAAAAAAGGGGGGGGAAAATAAAGAAAAGGGGGGGAAAAAAAAAAAAAAAAAAGGGGGGGGAAAAAAATAATAATAGAAAAAAAAGGGGAAAAAAAAAAAAAATTTTTAAAAAAAAAGAAGAAAAAAAAGGGGGAAGGTAGATAGATAAAGAAGGGGGTGAAAAATTAAAAAAAAAAGGGGGGAAAAAAAAAAAAAAAAAAGGGGGGGGGGAAAAAAAAAAGGGTTTGGGGGGAAAAAAAAAAAGGGGGGGAAAAAAAAAGGGGGGGGGGGGGGATTAAAAAAAAGGGGGGGGGGGAAAAAGGGGGGGGAAAAAACCCAAAAAAAAAGGGGGGGAAAAAAAAAAAAGGGGGAAAAAAAGGGAAAATTTTAAAAAAAAGGGGGTAGAGGGAAAAAGGGGGAAAAAAAAGGGGGGAAAAAAAAAAAAAAAAAAAGGTGGGAAAAAATTTTTTTTGGGGGGGGGGGAAAAAAAAAGGGGGGGGAAAAAAGGGGGAAAAGGTTTTGGGGGGGGGGTTTTTTTAAAAAAAAAAAAAAAAAAAAAGGGGAAAAAAAATGGGAAAAAAGATAGTTTGATAGATAAAAATGGGGAAAAAAAAAAAAAAAAAAAGGAAAAAATATTAAAAAAAAAAAAAAGGGAAAAGGGAAAAAAAAAAAGGGGTTGGGGGAAAAAAAAGGAAAAAAATTTGAAAAGGGGGGGGGTTTAAAAAAAAGAAAAAAAGGAAAGGAAAAGGGGGTAAAAAAAAAGGGGGGGGGGGGAAAAAAAAAAAAAAAGGGGGAAAATTTTTTAAAAAAAAAACCAAAAGAAAAAATAAAAAAGATAGATAGATTGGGGGGAAAAAAAAAGAAAAAAAAAAAAAACCCAAAAAAAAGGGGGAAAAAAAAAAAAAAAAAAAAAAAAAAGGGGGGGGGGGAAAAAAAAAAAAAGGGGGAAAAAATAAAAAAAGAAAAAGGGGGGGGGGAAGGTAGATAAAAAGAAAAAAAAAAAACCGGGGAAAAAGGGGGAAAAAAAAAAATTTTTTTGAAAAAAAAAAAAAGGGGGGGGGGAAAACCCCAAAAAAAAAAGAAAAAAAAATGAAAGGGGAAAAAAAAAGGGTTTTTAAAAAAGGAAAAGGGGGAAAAAAAGGGGTTGGGGGGAAAAAAAATAAAAGGGGGGAAAGGGGGAAAAAAAAAGGGGGACATAGATAAAAAGAAGGTAAAAAAGGGGGAAAAAAAAAAAAAGGGGAAAAAAAAAAAGGGGGAAAGAAAAGGGGCCCGGGAAAAAAAAAAAAAGACAAAAAACAGAAAAAACCCAAAAAAGGGGGTGGGAAAAAAAAAGGGGGAAAAAAATAGATAGATAAAGGGGAAAAAAAAAAGAAGGGGAAAAAACCCAAAAAAAAGGGGGAAAAAAAAAAAAAAGGGTAAAAAAAAAAAAAGGAAAAATTAAAAAAAGGAAAAATGGGTAAAGGGGGGGAAATTTAAAAAAAGGTTTTAAAAAAAGGGGGGGGGGGAAAAAAAAAAGGGGAAAAAGGGGGGGGGGGGTTGGGGGAAAAACGGGGGAAAAAAAAAGGGAAAAAAAAAAAGAAGGGGGGGTGGGAAAAAAAAAAAGGATTGGGGGGGGGAAAAAAAAAGGGGTAAAAGGGGGGCGGAAAAAAAAAGAAAAATTTAAAAAAAAAATTTAAAAAAAAAAAAAAAAAAAGGGGGGGGGGAAAAAAAAAAAAAAAAGAAGGGGGAAAAAATGGGGGAAAAAAAAAAAAAAAGACCAAAAAAAAAAAAAGGGGTAAATAGAAATAGAAGATAGAAGGGGAAAAAAGGGAAAAAAAGGAAAAAAAAAACAACCAAAAAAAGAAAAAAGTTAGAAGAAAAAAAAAAAAAAAGAAAAGGGAAAAAAAAAAAAAAAAAGGGGGGGGGAAAAAAAAAAAAGGGGGGGTAGATTTTAAAAATAAAAAAAAAAAAGGGGGAAAAAAAAAAAAAAATAAAAAAAAAAAAAGGGGAAAAAAAAAAAAAAAAAAAAAAAAAATAGAAAAAAAAAAAAAAAAAAAAAAAAAATAAATAAAAAAAAAAAAAAAAAGAAAAAAAAAAAATTTTTAAAAAAATTTTTTTGGAAAAAAAATAATAGAAATTAGTTGAAAAAAAAAAATTAAGGGCTGAAATACATACATAGAAAAAAGAAGCTGAAATATGGAAATACATAGAAACCAGATATGATAAGGAACAGACCGAAATAGATAGATAGATAGATAGTTAGATAGATGAACGGGCTGAAATACATACATAGAAAAAGAGACATAGATATGAACAGACCGAAATAGATAGATAGATAGATAGATAGATAGATGGATAGATAGATAGATAGATTTGCTGAAATCCATATATAGAAAAAGATATGAACAGACCGAGATAGATAGATAGATAGATAGATAGATAGATAGATAGATAGATAGATAGATAGATAGATAGATAAACAAACAAGTTGAAATAGATAAAGAGACATAGATATAGTCAGACTAGCATAGATCTATAGAAAGAAAGAAAGAAAGAAAATAAATAAACACATATATAGAGGTGGTTAAAAACAGAGAAACATATGTTTTAGAGAATTTTTACCATTCTTGTATCCAGTGAAATATCATAAGTAGAGAATTGAATTGAAAGACAGAAGCACTAAAATGATTAAAAAAGCAACAAATTAGAAGAGAAATTTGTAAATAAATGAAGGAGAAAGAAAGAAAAAAATTAGAAAAAGCAATGAAACGATAAGATAAAAGGGAAGGGAAGAATGAAAAAAAAATGAAAGATGTGTAAATGATAAAAAGAAATTTGTCTTAATATTCAACATCTAATGTCTATGTCAAGTAGCATTTTTCCTCTGCAATGAAATTTCTGTCCTTCGTTACATAATTCAATTTTGTAAAGAAAAGATCATAATTCATCCTTGTTTAATACAAGGAAGTAAAGAGCGCTGCTATTCTGATCGCTTTGCTAGAGAAAAAAGATCTATCAATATTCCCACCATCAGCGTTTATTGATGATTACGACATCTTTTTCTGCTTTATATTAAACATAGGAAGGCTACGTCGAGTAGACAGACACAAAACAGTTATTCTTCCCCAACTGGCTAAGACAGACACACGGACACACACTCAGCGGATATCCTTTTCATTAAATGCGTTCACGATCATTGATAACAATATATACATTTGATTGATATTGATAATAATATATTGATAACATAGTTATCGATAACATATAAATATTGATAACAATATATCCTTTTCATTAAATGCGTTCACTATCACAGATAACAATATATTAATATGAATAATTATGGATTGTGCTGAAGCATAGCCAAATCAAAAAATGGAATGTAGGAAGATGGTGTTTGAAAATTAGTAATCAAAATCTGGCTTTTACACGGTCAGTAGGCAATATATATGTAGTTATAATAATGGCCATCTTTAAATGTACAAATAAAAAAGTTGATATATCATCTGTAACTCTAATAAGTACCTTACAGAAAAATTGATTCACTTGTATATATATATTAAGAAATGGACAAAGTCCGACAATTTATTTATTAAAGACATTTTTATTTTTAACGTTCTTTTTTATAGATACAAGTATTTAAGTAAATGCTCTGTTTATAATAAACAGTATTAAATAACATTTACCGGCCTGAATGTCCGAGAAATTTTCATAGAAAACATTCGTCCTTTGACAGGATTCGAACCTGCATCCTATACGGAACCGTCATTTACGCTGACGTGCCACAGTGGATCGTTCAGAGGGTAAGGTTGAATTTACTGCTTATAAACTTCAATCTTCCATGAATCTCGTACATTCATAACTGCTCATGACGTATCAAATGTAAACAAATGACGTCATATATTAAGAAATGGACAAAGTCCGACAATTTATTTATTAAAGACATTTTTATGTTTAACGTTCTTTTTATCGATACAAGTATTTAAGTAAATGCTCTGTTTATAATAAACAGTATTAAATAACATTTACCGGCCTGAATGTCCGAGAAATTTTCATAGTAAATGACGGTTCCGTATAGGATGCAGGTTCGAATCCTGTCAAAGAACGAATATTTTCTATGAAAATTTCTCGGACATTCAGGCCGGTAAATGTTATTTAATAATGTTTATCATAAACAGAGCATTTACTTAATTTAGTTTATCGTCTTACCCAGGACGCGGATGTAGTTTATCGCCATACCCAGAACGTAGATATATGCTGGGAAAAACTGGGAGTTCACTATTTTCCCATAGCTGGGACGCTAACAGGTGCTACCACCCCGGATCAGGGTGGACCTGGGAACACCAGCAATTAAGTGGTGGGTCCACGCTTCCTCAAAACCTCCTGATCAGAGGCCTTGCTGTTGAATGCAGTTGGCTCTTCTGGGGGTTAGTCTCAGACATCCTGATGGCAGGCAGAAATGGCTCTCTGTGATAATTAAATGAAAGCAGTTTTTTGATTTGAAGGCGTTAACATTTACAAGCCATTCCTTGCTCTAATTAACCACTGATTGAATATCCTTCTTGAGAATATTTGCTAATTTTATTTCGTCGGACCTGTTGGAGTTGCTACTAAGACAAGAATAAATATTTGTGTCATTAGAATAAATACTTGATGACATCAGTTTTATATTTGGAACTAACGAATGTAGCTTGTCATGATATTTGCAAATGAATTCTTTTTAATCATTTCACCCCAAACAAGGCAATGAAGCCACTAAGACGCAAAGACTTACTTAGTGTGAAGAAATACGAGAAAAAAAAAACATTATTATGGAGAGAGAAGAATAAAAGAAAAATACAGGAATTAAATTTAAAAAAAAATAGGAAATATATAAAGATTGACGTTGCATTTACATTTTAAAGATCAAAGTTGACTGGAAAGCAAGAGGACGGAAGAGAGATTCACAAGAGTAAAGTTCGAGAGAATACAGAAAAAAAAAGCTGTTTAATGCATCGAATGATATAAATAAATAACTTCAAGCAATTCCTTTCTCCGAACAAATCTAGGATAGATAGATAGATAGATAGATAGATAGATAGATAGATAGATAGATAGATAGATAGATAGATAGATAGGGACAGGCTGAGATAGGAACATCCTAATAGATAGATAGATAGATAGATAGATAGATAGATAGATAGATAGATAGATGAATAGGTAGGTAGCAAATCATAAAAATCAATAACATCAAGTAATATAAAAATGAATAACATCAAGTAGTTCCTTTCTTCGAACACATCCCGGAATAGATAGCAATGATAAAATTAATAATATCAAGTAATATAAAATAAGCGCATCAAAAGTATTTTCTTTCTCCGAACACATCTAGGAAAGAACATACCTAGATAGATAAATATATATATATATATATATATATATATATATATATATATATATATATATATATATATATATATATATAGATAGATAGATAGATAGATAATAGATAGCATCTTCTATAGATAGACAGATAGATAGATAGATAGCAATCATATTCTTTCGTACGGATGTAGAAGTTACCGACCCTCCACAGTGTCCACTATTTTGCAGCTTTTTGTAACTCTTCTCTCTTTACTAACCCTTTTTTTATTTCCGATTGATGGATTGATAGTTATGAAGAAAATGGTATAAATTGATACACGGACAGACAGCCGGATAGGAACAGACTAAAATCAATCAAAGATGGATAGATAGGAACGGAATTAGATTGGCTAATAGATATATAAATACGAAGGAACTAAATTCAATCGGCGGTAATGCTTTTTGCATTAAACTTGTCCACTAGATGAAGACTTGATTTATGGATATATGGACAGACAGGGCGACTGACAATCAGATATGAACAAACTAAAATCGATCACGAGATAGATAATCTACCTTGTTTGTATAATTCAAATAAGAACTAATGGCGTTTACACCAAAACAAATGAATATTATAAAGAATTAGTTGTCTGTCGTTGTAAACCGATTAAAACGTTTCCATCTTCTGGATTATGTCCTTTTATATAGTAGATTTATTAAAGCCGAATATTCAAGTTTTCCTCTTTCTTGGGTATTGGGTGGGGTTTTTGGAAGACGCAAAGTAGTCATGATAGGAGAATAATTCATTACACCAGAAGAGTAATTCCTTACTCGTGGATAGTAATTCATTACTCCAGGAGAATAATTCATTACTCGTGGAGAGTAATTCATTACCCGTGGACAGTAATTCATTACCCGTGGACAGTAATTTATTACACCAGTAGAGTAATTCATTTCTCGAGGACAGTAATTCATTACTCTAGGAGCGTACTTCATTGCTCCAGGAGAGTAGAATTACTCTCCTGGAGCAATGAAGTACTCGTGGGGAGTAAATCCTTACTCATGGAGAGTAATTAATTGCTCCAAGAGAGTAATTCAATGCTCAAAGAACAGTAATTAATTACGCCAGGAGAGTAATTCATTACTTCTGGAAAGTAATTTGTTACTCGTGGAGAGTAATTCATTGCTCAAGAACAGTAATTCATTGCTCCAGGAGAGTAATTCATTACTCCAGGAGAGTAATGCATTGGTCAACGAGAATAATTCGTTACTCTTGGAGAGTAATTCATTGCTTCAGGAGAGTAATTCCTTACTCCAGGAGAGTAATTCATGGGTCCAGAAGAATAACTCATTACTCGTGAAGAGTAATTCATTGCTCTAGGAGAGTAATTCATTGGTCCAGGAGAGTAATTCATTACTCGTGGACAGTAATTCATTACACCGGGAGAGTAATTCATTATTTAATAGTATCCTGTCTCTTAAACAATGTTCTTCTTAGTTTCTTTCCCTGTGAGTAACACTTTGTGTCTTAGTGGCTTCATCACCTTGCCTGCAGTGAAATGATTAAAAAGTCACAATGGCCTATTCTCTCAAATCGATTTATTCGTCAAAGAAAAAAAAATCATGAATTGGCGCTAGACACGAAGATTCAAATTCTAAAATAGAAGTGTAGTGTTACTGTCTCACTGGGAGTAGTATGCATGGAACTGCCGCATGGGTAACATATGTAGCTATTTGTAGTATTTTTAAATCGCCTTAAAAATAAAACAAAAGTAGATCAACAATAAATTAGTATGATCAAAAAGATTAAAATTAATTTGACGCTAATGAAAGGACTGGAATGTATTTCAAATGTTTAGTCTCTGGGAGACGTTAAAACACTTAAATATGCCGACAGAAGCGAAGTTATACAGTGATCGTTATATTTTATCTCTTGAATGGACGTGTCAGAACCTCTGATAAAAATTACAACATACTTAGTAATTACAAAAATTAGAAAAAATTAAGTAAATGTCATTGTTTCTAAAATTGTAAGGATATTTTCCTTCAATATGAATTGAGGAAAATTCTTAATTCGTTTCATTTCTTGGTTCCGTAGCTTCACGCGATTTTCCCGTTTTATTTCCTGTTACTGCTTTCTGTATTACAATGACTTAATTAACTCACGAGCATCTCGAAATATGAGGCTAATGAAAAAATAATTAATAACGAATTACAAATCTAAGGGAGGTAATTCAGTGTTTTATTGCGCAGAAGACGTTTGAAGCGCTAACAATACACGAAAAAAGTTTCAAAGTAAAATCATATTATATGTTCGCCACTATGTGCAATAATTTCTTGCCAGCTAACAGGCAAATCTTAGAGAACTTTTTACTTAATAAAATCAAATTAATTAATAAAAACTAAAGCTCTAATAAGCGACAATTTATTAGTGTAATGACAAAAGTACGTAGATGCAAGCTTTAAGGAAGATTTAATAAACTGAGAATACAAGGTTCATGTGTAGTGTCCTTTTATAGTCCGAGTATACATAAACACCTCTCTCAAACAGGAGAGTAACAAAACAAAGGGAAACCACTCTTGATTATTCATAACAATTAGTTTCTGAAAAAAGAACTTTAGAGATTTTGGTTGGTTTGGTTTGTTTTACGGCATATCAACACCTCAATGGGTTTTTTAATACCGACAAGATTTTTATTGATGGTAATATTTTTTTCCTTCAAAAATGTATTGCTGGTAATATTTTTTCCTTCAAAAATGTATTGCTGGTAATACTTTTTACCTTCAAAAATGTATTGCTGGTATTATTTTTTTTCCTTCAAAACTGTATTGCTGGTAATAAAACCTATTTTTACACATTTATAGTGTTTTAAACCTAGTTTGGGGGTTAAATATTTGCCCATAGTTGTAGCTACAGATGCTACCTCGAGTCAGGGTGGACAGAGGAACACCAGCAATTAAGAGGTGGTTCCACGCTCCTCAAAGCCTCCTGATCAGAGGCCTTGCTGTTGGACGTAGTTTATCGTCTTAGCCAGGACGCTTTACACATTTTGAAAGTAATTCGTTGACAAAAAGCTATTAGAACCGTTAGATAAGCTTGATACATGGGAAAGACATTAAAATAACCCAGAACTTATACTTGGGGTGAACTTCCTGCATACGTATGGAAAATGAATTCAGTAAATACACAAAAATAGGAAGAGGTGTAAACAAGGGTGTTTTCTTACCAGATTTATACAACATTTATGGTAAAGTGGAATAGAAGTTCTACCAGGATTCATTAATAGCGGCAACATTCTTAATACCATTATAATAACTATCTCGCTTGTTGGCCATTGTGGCATTCCGGGGCTTCCTTACTTTGTTCATTTCAGCAGTAGCAGCAAGAGAATTAATCAGCAGGGAACCACCTGAAGTCACAGAAGTCATAAAAACGTTGACCTATTCGGACTCTTCTTCCACTTTTTCCTTTGAGCGGCCGCTACCTTCAAAATGCAGCTCGAAGAACTGTTACCATTCCTTGCAGCAGAAAACACGTGGCTTGACCTGGCAGCTTGACCTGAGATTTCTCGTTCCTTCTACAGAAGAATGCTGAAGTTTTAGAAATAAACTGAGAATAAAAAGTAAAACTAATATTCAACATCAGAAAAATAAAATACAATTGAAATTTAAAGGGCGCATAATGAGAAAAGAGGGCTTAGAAAATTTGACACTCACATGACATATTAAAGACAAGAGAGACAGAGGAAAACAGCGAATTAGCTGACTAATTAGATTGGAATTAATTAGGAGAGATAGAGAAAATAAGTTTAAGGCTAAGAAAAAACAGGAAATTGTGGAGAGCGATGATCGCCGACGACCTGGAGGGATAGTGGACATAAAGTAGATACAATTTTTTGTGATCTTTTTTATAACTATAATAATAATGTTAACATTGATAAATTATCGTTATTTTAATATTTATTCAATTTCGAAATTGAATAAATATTAAAATAACGATAATTTATCAATGTTAACATTATTATTATAGTTGTAAAAAAAGATCACAAAAAATAAACGGTGATTACAAAAACGGATTCTTTTCTGCATTCAAAACGAAGGTTTGAATAAAAGGTTTCATGACAAAAACCATATTTTCAAGAGACAATAGCAGGAGTATCTATAATTGGCCGTACTTATAAATGTAGTATCTGTCTATATTTCTAAGATGAGGTGTTATATACACTATTTACATTATTCGGACTATTGTCCTCATCTTTGTCGCCTTGTCCTCAAGGACACATGGCACAGTTGATAAAGGCGTTAGCTAGATCCAAGACCCAAAGAGTGTGATTTCAATGCCCAGTTAAGACAGTGGAGAACTTTCAGAGAGAAATTAACAGGAGATAACTGATAACTGACATCCATTAAACATGGCACGTGGTACTAGAACAGTCTACCCCAGTGAGCGAAATAAAGGGTTCAGTACGACATTACAACCACCTGAAAAAGGCCGGAGCGTACAACGGCCGAAACGTTGTAATAAATATGATGACAAAGATGAGGACAATAGTCCGAATAATGTAAATAGTATTATAAATGCAGGTAGTTACTTTTTTCAAAAACTCAGACTTATATCCGCTTAACGCCACAAGTCAAAGATTAGACAAAAATCTATATATAAAATTCTGTGACTTCCGTTAGTCCGTCCGTCACACTCTCTAAAATAGTCATACATTGACCGAGCAAAACCAAATTTTTGGGGACTAGTGCAAACAGGTCATGGGGTAAAAATACTGTTGGTTTTACTAGGGTGCGTGAAAATTGTGTAGGGTTTTTGTTAAAGTATTTTTCTAAACAAATCAGCTTATTCAAATTTCCTCGATTGGTTTTCGAAATTGAACGAAACGTAGAGATTGTAAATCTTAACACA